TCTTAAGTGTCACAGTTGAGAACTACTGGTAATCCAAGCTGATGTTATGAAGATAAAAAGAGGCCCTATATTATGCTTCCTTTTTTTTAATCTTTCCTGTCGTGTGTTATATAAAAAGGTTTTTGTGCATGTAAATGGTCTGCAAAGGCTAAAAACCCAAAGGTCCCCTGCCCCCCCACTCCGGTTTTAATACATAACTTGATCACTCATTGTTACCCAGATGACTTATTTCCGCATAATAATGGTGAAAAGTACATGACCTTGGTGAGTGTGACATTTACTCATCTCTGTGTCAGCGCATTAATACAAAATAAACTCTTTAAGAACTTTAAAACAATACTTCATTTGAAAATGAGACAATAGTTCCCTGTCCTGCATCAGTCCTCTTGTAATGTGATTCAACAACATCAAAAAAGCCGGATATTATATCACAAATGCTTGTTGGAGAGGAATAAAAGGCCAAGCCGGGTAAATACGAAGTACAACGGTGGATCCATTACACAGAACTAACAATCCAAATAAACACACATAAAGGAAATATTAGGAAGCTCTCAATGAACACTTTCATCCCACAGACACACACATCTGAAAGGCTGTTATGATTGATAGTAGCCTACTACAGTTCCCATGAACCTCAGCTGGTGCTCAGGCTGTCACAATGCTCTTAAAAAGTTCCACAATAAAGTTAGATTTGCAAAATTAGGCCCTATTTGTCAGATTAGACAAGGGGACAATAACACACATTTACTTTAAATCAAAACTTGCACAATAAACCTCGAACTCAATGTTTGTATCAGTTTACCAAGGTTAAATAATGTCAAATGGATGAATCAAGCCGACCTCCATTGGAAAAGTATCCTATTTAGGACTATTGCTATTTTTGCAGAAATGTAGACAATGTAGAAAAAGATTGAAGACCTATTCTACCCTTTAAAGTTACAGTATGCACTTCGGCATTAACGTGATTAACCTAATATTACATATTTTATTGATATATATCAACTGTTTATGTTGCTTTCATTGCCGCCTTTACCAAAATGCACCGAGAAGGAGAGGGCAAAGTTGAAATACGCAACACAAAACTGTTGCTTTTCCTAGAAAAATTAATCGGATTTAGCTTTAAAAAAGTAAGCCGAATTCACCACAAAACACCTTACATTTATTTGAAATCTTAAATTATATGATGCCACTTATAAATCCCAATTTATTAAGAAGAAAGCCTTTAATTGGCAGATTTTCACATTAGGTTTGGCATTGAGTTCCACCAACGACCGTTTTGGGGGTGTTTCCTGATCCAACACCTGATAAAGGTGGTTTTGACACATGGCGTTAAACTCTCTGGCCCACAGCCAACCTTTTGCATGAGACAAACTGATCAAAAAACATTATAACCCATAAGTGGAGGTGAGTTGTACCTGATGAATGTGGTTTTCCCGGTGGAGTACTGGCCCACCAGAAGCACCATGGGTTTGCTCTGGAAGTCGGCGGCCTCCAGAGCCGGGGAGTGGAAGTCATGGAAAAGGTAAGTCTCCTCTAGAGGAAGCAGCTTCTTCAGGTAAAGGCTCTGCAGACCCTCGGTCACTGTCTGGTACATCTCTCCGTCCTTGTTGCGTCCACCTTGCTCCTGCTTCACCCAGCTGAACATGCTGCGGTATCACTTTTTTCACCAATCCAACTTCCTTGTTTCGATATTTCCCAATTTTCCGGCTGTTTTTCCGGCTCCTTTTCGCTCAGTTCCTCCTCCAGACTGAGCGACGGAGGGTGTGTGTGTGTGTGTGTGTGAGTGAGAGAGTGTGTGTGTTTGGCACCTTGGAGTCTCCACTGCTGCTGTGGACACACTGCCTCCTCTGTCAGTGTGTGTGTGGGAGTGTGTGTGTTTGTGGTGATGTGACCGCTGCTGGTGCTTCTACCTACCTGGGGGGCACCGCCCTTCCCCCTGTGACGCAGCATGAACACACAAACAAACACACACACACACACACACACACACACACACACACACACACACACACACACACACACACACACACACACACACTCATTTGTTTATTGTAATAGAAACAGACACGGCAATTGAACTCTACAGTCTCTCTTTTTCCTGAATATACACCGGTTGTATATTGTTCTAGATAATGGATATAGTTCAATGAACACTTGCTTTTGTTTTTATATACTTGAATAATTAGCAGTAACTAATTAAAAAAAATACCGAAGTACTGATGCTTTATAGATATTTGTATACATTTAATTATGAAAAACTCATTGATTGTGTTGTGAATTGTAACAGTCTCAACCAAAGGCTCTCAACACTGAGAAGTGAGAAGTTATTATGTTTTGCTTATTACTTAATAAGAATGTATAATTGCTTATAAAACATCAGTGATTGAGCAGCATCCCTAGAGATTAATAAAGCTTTGTATTTTTATGTCTCATGTATAAAGCCATCTGCTACAGTTTACAAACCATTTGAGAATGGCAACCAATCAGAAAGTGGCATTCAAATAATTGTAGTGGATTTGTGTAATCAAGAAATCTGTGTTTCGCTTAAAGTGGTTTTCATTCTTACATAACGTTTTTGACTGAAGTAGCTGCAGTCTCTGTGTACTGTAGCGCCCCCTGCTGGATCAGACTTGACAATACACCATTCACATTATAAACTGCCTTTAAGTTCACAAAAAATATTGTATTAAGACATCCTTGATATTTGGCTAAATAAACATTAATACATGTTGCTTTCCTAAAATAGAGAACTGCCGGTTGGTAAAAACTCGGACAAATGTGCAGTGCTGTACATTTATGATTTATTATCTGTTGGTAAGTAAACAGCACAGTCTGAATGTGTAACGTTCAATACAATAGTCTTCGTTTTCGTTAAGAGCAACACTTCACCTCACTATAACCAGGAAAACAAAAAAGCAATGTTAGAAATGATAAAAAATACTCCAAATTAAGAAATATTACATCTAAATATAAACTCTATACATCGAAATTATGAGATCCTGAATGTGTTGCTTTTTATAACAAACTTCCACTTACAAAATATATGACAGATGAAAGGTTGTCATATATAATATCATCTCGTAGTCTTTACTATAAAAGCTTGTTAATTGACTTGAGATATATTTAGACAAAATAAGAACCAACAAGCAGGAAACGTGGAGTTTTACCCTCTGACTGCATCCATTGTTGCTTTCAGGTCTCCATTTGTTTTTGTAATCTGCAGTTTGGACACTAGGTGGCGCTGTTTCCCTGTCTAATAGTTAGAGCTTCAATTATCTGAAAAGATATCACAGGACAAGCTGTAAAAATAACTATTTTTTATTAAAAGACAGAGAAAACAGGTAATAAATACAGAAAAAGGACAGAATCAGCATTTCACATCCCAATGACAGACAGTTTCATTTACACTGAGACAGACAATCCATATCGTTTATTTATTTTAATCGTAATGTTTGATGCCCAACTCCTCTGACGATCATCATGTTGACAAATAAAATCGGATGACACAAAACCAAAGAACCATACAGGTCATTTTAACCCAGAATGCATCCTTTTTTATAGGTTTACGGTTTACATGACATGTTACACTTTTATCCAAAGCGACTTCCATACTCAACACTGTGGACAATCCCCACAGGAGCAATTTGGGATGAAGTGTCTCAGGGACACAACAACATGCTGACTGCAGTGGGGTTTGAACCTGTGACCCCCTGATCCGATCCACACGCCACAAAAGACGTAGTTTATTCAGAACATTTGAACTTTTTAATCCGTTCTAAAGAGCGTTGTATTTCAATGTAGGTACACATTTGTTTTTTGCATTTCCGTGAATCGATTTTGTTATTGTTTGTAATATTGTGTTTAATTAAAAAGATTTGTTGTTGTGGAACTGAACTTTTAAAAGCCTGTTTTTTCGCTGAAGCCTTGCTGTAACTCTGTCCTTGGAAAAAAGAAAAAAAAAGGGAAACAATAATACAAATTCAAGTTTAACAAAATACAGAAATTGACATGTGGGCAAAATATACATCATGATAATTACAAAACAGGCAATGATGAAGCTTAACAAATTTAACAAAGAGAGAAAGATAACAAGGAGGTTTTTTTCTTGAAACATCCAGGTACTTTGTTTATTTTGCAGATTGTTTTGAAATGGTATATAAGAGCAAGCTTAAAATATTATGTTGAATAACAACATTACCTATAGGTTTACTGAGCACCTTTGAATTATTTGTCGATAAAACCTCAATCATGATCAACAGACACCTTTTAGATAACATTATAAGTAATGAAAGCTGTTTGGTTAGACATTAAGATGATTTATAAGTTTGAAATCATTCACTTGGTCACTACTCATTCATAAAGCTGGCTGATGTTGACAAAAAAGTTCGTTTTTTAGATATTAAAATGTATAAAATTCACCTGAAACATAAGATAACTCGCTCTTGGATTCAAGATTCAGAATTGTTTATAGTATAAAAAAAATCTATTTTATTTAAAGTAGCCTCCTTAATTGAACAATGCAGGAAAAGGGTGGTTCGTTTTTTGTGTTTATTGTAATAAATCTTTATAGAGAATCAAAAACACCTGACTGTTTAGTGAAAGGTGAATGATTTTGGTTACACAGATGATGAGATTGTTTTATGATTTGGTGATTTCCCAAAATCTCCTTCATTATATAAACGTGTGCTTTTCTATGTTTTGTGTATTTTATATACATGTGTATTTATCAGTAATAATCAGTATATGTGAGCAGTATATATATACAGTGTGTGTGTCTATTCTTGTACGTCTACCTTGTGAGGACCGTATACTTTTACCTGCAAAGTGGGGTCTTTTTAAAAACTGAGGAATTTTGACTTGTTTTCACTCCTAAAATGTATGTTTGGGACATAAACTGTGTTTTACTTCAACGCTCGCCCATTGGGTGAAGCAAATCTGCGTAGTGGCCAAACGGTGGTACTACAACATCTGTATCTGTCTGTGATGTCATTGGACCTAAAAAGGCTTTCTTTTTGCTGAAATCTTCAACTGAAATGTTGTCAGATAGATGCAATTTGTATTTATTGGGTTGACTAGTATTTTGTGACAATGTCTTCCTTCAAACGATAACATGAATGCTAGCTAGGTATTAGCTGGACAAAATCCTCCATTTACAAGGTTCAGATTTATTTTAGGGTAGGTTAATTTATGTTTGTATAAAAGTACAAAAGTGTGTGTGTGTGTGTGTGTGTGTGTGTGTGTGTGTGTGTGTGTGTGTGTGTGTGTGTGTGTGTGTGTGTGTGTGTGTTTTCTTAGTTATTCTCTGTAAAGTCCCGACAGATGCCTCGGACCAGCAGAGGAATGAACTCGGCCAGGCCGGTGAACTCTCGGGTGAAAAAGGAGTGGCTGTCCTTCGGCTCGGACGACATCGATTTGAGGTCATCAAGAGGCGCCCAGGCCACGCCCACTGAGTACATGGTAATGCCTGATTGGTGGGTAGGATAAAGAGGATATTTTAATAAGGACTAAACACAAACTGCTGTTGTCTTTCCTCTTTAAGAACACACAGTTAGAAATACACTACATTTATACAGTTTTGTAAATGTAACGTTTTTAAACTGTAAGTGTAAATATGCACATTGACGTTGAATTTTATCTCTGTCATCGCTACAACCTCTGCTTTTACCACTCTTATTTATTTATTTATTTGTGTCTATTTTTTACTGCAGTGAGAGTTGCCAAAGAAATGTTGTTGTACTTTGTATGATGACAATAAAGATATGTTCTATTCTATTCTACTTGAACTTTAGCTCTGGCTACTACTATACCGTACCGTCAACTGTACCGATGTTGTTGATTACGGAAAATGCTAAATATGTGATTGCAAGGAGTAAGATGGCTATTACCGATCGAAGCATAGATGAGATGAATCAACTAATAAAAAATAAAATTGCTACACACCTTGTTCCTTTGCCGCAATCGCCGGTAGCCTGACGTCATCATACGATTGGCCGTCTGTCACCACGATGAGGAAGTTACGGCCTGGTCCCATCCGCCTGAAACAACAATTATTCAGGCAGTTTCCTTCTCTAGATATAATGAATTCTGCAATGAGAAGCAATGTTAAAAATCCTCAACAAAACAGTTATTAGGTCATATTTCGCATACTAGTGTTTCTACTACAGCAGCATAGCACTAGTGCAGTGTTTCTCAAAGTTTTTCATACCAACAACCACTTAACCAATCAAAAAACACACAAGGACCACCTAACTCCCCAAATATCTAAAAACAATAGGCCTGCTAACCACTCCAACAGTATATAACAAATCACAGCATAATAATGACAGCTTAACCTATTGCTCATAGGTTTTACACCTCATATGAATGAGCTAACAGACTCACAGATCATTGGCTACTGAGAGAAATGCAAAATGCACCGCATTTAGTACAACACAAACCTCCGCTGTGGATTTTCTAAATAAAATACAGTAAAACTATGGCTGCAGGCCCAAGTTTAGCATGAATTCAACATTAAACACAAGTTAATTATTTACACTGTTCCATTTATTTAGCATTGTTTACGCACTCAGTCTCTGTTGCCACCTATACTAGTCATTTTTAAACAATTTGAGAAACACTTTGGATTTAAAATAAATGTATTTCAAATGTGAAATTGTACCAATTTACCATTTACTCAAGGACCACTAGGGGTCACTCACGGACCACACTTTGAGAAACACTGCACTAGCGGGATGGATTTATTTCAGCTTGTGTTAAGAAAAACCTAATAGCTGGTTGGATGTTTTTGTAATGGAAGTACAGTGCAATACTCAGGTGTGTTGTTACCTGAACAGGTTCTGGGTGGTGTAGCTGATGGCGGCTCCAGTGGCTGTTCCTCCGCTCATGTAGGGGATGCTCTGCAGGGCATTCATGGTCTCATCTTTATCAGAGTGATCAAACAGGCCGAACTCCAACCGCTGATCGTAGGTGAACTGCACTGCACCTGGACACTCAAAACATAAGTCCATCAGCCAATCAGATCATCAATTAATCAATTAGTTAAATTATTTTTGATTCTGTGAAGCTGACCAACGTGAGCTCCCACGTCTGAGATTTCAAAGCTTCTGGCGATTCCTTCCAGGAAGTCCAGGACGAGCTGGAAGTTTGAATGTCCGACGCTGGAAGAACCGTCGATAAGGAACCCGATGTTCACTGAGTTGTAGCAGGTTTTACCTTAAAAAACACACATGTATTTTACACATCTTGGCTAATCAATCAAGTTTTTACCAACATGAAATCTGCGTATCTGCAGGATATTAATTTCACAAAGATAATAATTTCTCCATAGTTATTTTTAATGACTTCTCCAAACAAATGTGATGATTTTGCAACAGAAATGTACAGATCACTCCACAGAAATTATAAGATTTCTGCGATCTCCAAATGTCCCTTGTTTTGGATTCAAGTGGTTGGGAATAACTGTTAATATGAGTTCCCTGGTGATGTGTAAATTGTGTCTTACTGCAGAGCAGGCTGTCCAGCGAGCAGAGCTTCTGAGCGAGAGGTTTCACGTGTTTGGTGGTGCTGAACCAGCTGGTGATCAAATAACTGAAGAAACCGTTGTCTTTGCACACCGCCTGCAGGACGAAGAGACAGACTGCTGTTACCGAAACATTTGATATACTGTATATTGACACCAGTACCATCGAAAGTTTGTTATCTCCCGTCACAAAAGCATGATTGGCTACAGTAAGATGACTGAGAGGACAACTTTACTCATGATGTAAAAATTCATGGAAAACAATATGCTGTGTCATGGTTTAACCAGAGGCAAACATAACTCTGACTAACAGTTCAATAAGAACGAAAATGTCACTAGTAGTCTTTGGTCAAATGAACTGGACGTTAAGCTTTAAAATGTAAAGTGCAACGTGTAAACTTGCCTTGCCTTGCACAATAATGCCAATAACAAGCTGGACTTAACAGAAGTGGTGCTTTAACAAAACTCTAAATTTACAGGAAGTTTGATAAAAGCAAAAGCAATATATTTTCCAGTAAAATGCCTACTTTTATTTTAATATGCATTTTCTTTCTCTCAAAACAGTTTCTTGTTTTCTTTTTAGTTTTTGTCTGTTGTTTTTTCACTTTTTTAGTGCTTTGGTTGTGTGTAATTATACGAAAAAATAACTAAAAATGATGGATCAATGTATAGATCTAACTGATAATGATTGTGTAACATAATTACTAAAAAATAAAGAATAATAAAAAAAACATCGATTTCACAGCAGATTGGTTTTTTTTGTCTGTTGATTTGTAGATTCATTCATTCACTCAAAGGTCGTACCCACCTTCTTCATGAAGTCCTTGTCCCGCACCATGGCGAGCTCCTCGGCCGCGGGTCTGGCCACGGACACCAGGAAGACGTTGATCCCGGACTCTCTGGCCAACATGGCCGCCTGCTCCAGCTCATCTGAAGGCCAGCCGTCCACCAGCACCATCATGACCCGAGGGTGACCCCGCCGCGCCCCGTTCTCCGGGCTGAAGAACGTCTCCGCTGTGTGCATGATGGCCTTACCTGCAGGAGGACAACAACAAGACAATGAACCAGGTAAAGAGACATCATCTCATTTTTATTTTATTTATTTTTTAAAGACTATTTGGGCCGGATTAGCCTTTACTGGAGATGACAGTGTTGAAAGGGGGAGACAGAGTCGATGACATGTGTACATGGTTCCAGGCTGGATTTGAACCAGAACATGAACATGGTCTATTTAGCTCTACCAGGTGAGATATATGGCAGCCCAACATCATTTAATTGTAACTGCATTTCAGCGACAGAGTTGCTACAGAAGCGCTGTATGAAAGTTATGTTAAATAATTGTTGTTTTATCATGAGTAAGTGCTATTTATTTTAAATTTGTTTGTCATACCGGTATATCTCTCTGATCTCTTTGTATTTCTATCAGGTGTGTGTGTGTGTGTGTGTGTGTGTGTGTGTGTGTGTGTGTGTGTGTGTGTGTGTGTGTGTGTGTGTGTGTGTGTGTGTGTGTGTGTGTGTGCGTGCGTGCGTGCGTGCGTGCGTGCGTGCGTGCGTGCGTGCGTGCGTGCGTGTGTATTACCTGTGTTGGTGTCTCCTCCCAGGTAAGCCAGCTCTTTGATGGCAAACAGCAGCTCTTTAGGCTGAGTGTAGTTGGTCAGTAAGAACTCGGTCCTCGGAGAATCACTGCACACAAAATCCAGGAAAAAGACACGTACACTTAACCAACAGCAACGCTTAGTATTATTAAAGATATATCTATCAAACTACATATCTTTAATCAGGTTGATAATTGAGTTATCCATTTATAAAGTAGCAAAACATGGAATAAACATTTATATAGTAGAGTACTAGTACCTTGTTCCAAAGTAAAGTACTTTTTAAAGGATTGCAAATGTACTCTCTCTGCCTTTGTGAGTTGTAATTGATTTGTTAAATAAAGCTAATTTAAATGTAATCTCATTAAAGTTGAATCTGCCCAAGGAAAAACTCTTTAGGTTTAATTTAGTTTTAATTGAGTGAAAACCTCATACTATATATATTTTTGAAAAAAGGGTTTCTTGAACTATTTGGTTGATGTTCTTACTTGCTCCATTTTGCGGGAAAAAAAAGATATGTATTGCTCTTTTTTCATACTGAATGTATTTATAGTATCTGTGTGTCTGACCTGGCCTGGATCAATCCTACGTGCGGTCCCATTGGTCCGACTTTCAACATGGCCGCCAGTTTGCTGACTAAGTTTTTCTGCAGGTTGAACCTCCGCTGCCCGATGTTTTTACTGCTGTCGATCACCATGGCGATATCCATCTGACAGTCTGCACACACACGTTAACACACACACACACACAATGAGGTAAAAGTAGTTGAACAATCTCAATTCATTTCCGATCAAACGTCGTGCAACAAAAACTCTACAAAAACAAACACAGGGTACCTTTATTTCCACCTTTCAGAGCTTTCTTCACTGATGGCTTCTTCAGTTTCTTTGCTGCAACACACACACACACACACACACACACACACACACACACACACACACACACACACACACACACACACACACACACACACACACACACACACACACACACACACACACACACAGCTTTAAGTCATGCCTACCAATGCCCCTCAGCTGTGAGTATTTACAGTACTACACTGGATACTATCAGTAGTATATAATAATGTGTATTTATTACCTGGCTTTAGAGCTCCAGGCAGAGCGGTGGCAATGGTTTCACTGGTCAACTCCAGTGGGACACTAACAGGCTCTGGATACACACACACACACACACACACACACACAGTCGTCGTCGTCGCGACGTCACGTACACGACACACACACACACACACACACACACACACACACACACACACACACACACACACACACACACACACACACACACACACACACACACACACACACACAGAGAGAGAGAATTAGTTTTGTACATTTACTAAAATGATGGTATTTGCTTCATCTCAGTGAACATGTTTCCCAGTTTTTCCTATATATAAAGATAGTTTTGATAATGAAAAGTATAATACTATATATTTGTTTATCCCTTGAGTTACAAAGGCTTGACAAGAAAAAACTAAAGTTAAGTATTATCCAGATACAGTATAAAGATTTAAAGAAGTTGCATTTAATGCCTTTCCCCCCCTCTAGGAGGCAGTGAAACTCCACATCGAGCTGTAAACCCACACAAACATATGGTATGTAATAAACATTATGTCTATTTATAAGTGTGTACATTGAGAGCAATGGCAAAAAATAAAGTGGATTCTGGATTTGCCTCCATATACCAATATGACGTCTTCCAATACCTTGTTAATTTGAACCAATAATTTAAAAAAACAACTAATTTAACTGAAATAGACAATCAAAACATCTATCAACAAAAAATCATAATTCGGAAACGGCTCCACCTACTGGTGAGGCTGAAGGAGGCGGTCCAGTGGGACAGGACCTGTGATTGGATGCCGTGAGCGAAGGAGCTCATATAGTTCTGTTGTCCATGAAGCTTGTTGACCCGGACGGAGCCGCCGGACGGACCCAGAACCCCCCTGCAGAGCAGAGAGGTTCAAAATATAATCAGGATAAGCAGGGCCGGCCCTAGGCACTGGCAAACTAGNNTAGCCGGTCGCCTAGGGCGCCAGATCTGGAGGGGCGCTGCGCTGGGAGAAAAAACACATACCCCCGGACCCCCCTAGAGGGTGTGACGTCCACCCGCCAATTCAAAAATGTTCATACAATAATGAATACATTTGAAACCTTCTTTATGTATATAACCAACATGTTAATATGTTACAGTTTTTGTAGTGTATTGGTCTTTTGTAGAGATTTTTCATTTATTCTTTATATATTCTATTGTGTATTGCTTGGAGCG